TATGTGGAATCTAAAGAACAAAATAAATGAACACACAAAATAAAAACAGAGTCATAGATACAGAGAACAGACTGACAGTTGTCAGGGGTAGAGGGAGTGGTTAAAAAAGGTGACGGGATTAAGCAGTGCAAATTGGTAGTTACAGAATAGTCACAGAGATGTAAATTACAAGATAAGAATTATAGTCAATAATATTGTGATAATTTTATATGGGGCCTGGTGGGTACTTGAAAGAGCAGGAGAACCACTCTGTAAAGTAAATGACATTTAAAACACTTCGCTTTATATCTGAAACTAATACAGAATAATATTGAATGTAAACTGAAATTAAAAAAACAAAACAAAAAACAAAGAAGTGTTGAAGCTCAGGCTCCACCCAGATCTCCTGAACCAAAGTCTGCATTTCAACAAGATTCCAGGCAATTTGGGTTTTTGAGAAGCACTCCAAAAATCATAGATTATTGAGATCCTTGTATGTTACTCCTAGCTCAAAAAGGATTGTGAAGACAGGACAAAGGGTCAGCGTTGTGAAATGTTTCAGTCATTGCTTTTTACACTTCATGCTGATGAAAGCAGGGGGAATTAGGGTTATATCCCCTTTTAACATTCCTTCCTCTCAGATATCTCAGGAAATCCTGTTCTATGTGCCTTTTTAGCCTAACCCTAAAGAATCTGGTAAAGTAATTTACCCTGTAGTAAATGAATGGAAAGATCTACTTACATTCTATCACATCCAAACATTCTTTATTATCTGTTATGCAGAAAAGAATGTTATACAGGAAGAAATGATGAACTAGCAATGGAAGAAGAGAAGGGTGGTGTGAGAATTGAGCAATAGGAGATAAATTAGCTAGAATTTAATAATTGGTGACATGGTACTGGGGTAGGGTGTGGGGTTAAAAAGAGTGTGAAGATGAGATGGTTTCTCAATTTTTAGCCTGTGTGGTTGGGGTTAGGCATTGTGCCAATACCCTAAATGAAGGGGAAGATAGTAGGAAAAGGAGCAACTTTAGGGAAGAGGATAAGTTCAGTAGCCATGCTGAAGTAGAAATCTTGTGAGCATTTAGATACATGAATCTGAAGTTTGAGAAATTAATTTTTTTTAAAAGAAAAATTAACCGGTAAACATATGATTGGTCAGGAGCTACAGTGTGACATTAAGTGGCTTGCTCCTCTAAGTTCAAGCATAAAATAAAGGAAAATGTCCTCCTAGCAACATGCAAGCTTGGGAAGTTTTTCTGCTGGAAGCAGGGCCCAGGCATTCAATCCTCTTCTCATTGTGCTAGAGCACATCTTCCCTTCACACTACCTCTCAAGGGTCCTCACTCTTTTCTTTTTTTTTTTTTATCTATAATTTCTTTATTGGTTAAGGTATTACAAATGTGTCCCCATTCCTTCATTAATCCCCAAACATCCCCCCCCCATGCTCTCATTCCCCTGTTGTCTGTGTTCATTGGTTTGGCTTATATGTATGCATACAAGTCCTTTGGTTGATCTCTTCCCCTTATCCCCACACTTCCCTACTTTCCCTCTGGGAATTGACAGTCTGATCACTGTTTTTCCATCTCTGGATCTGTCCCAGTTCATCAGTCTATGTTGTTCTCTATATTCCACAAATGAGTGAGATCATGTGGTATTTATCTTTCTCTGACTGGCTT